TTGTGCGCTGTTAATTTAGAACAATTTGATATTGAGAATGTATGGGAGCTGAGAAGACGATGTTCTAGGAAGTCGCAGGGAACTTTCGCTGCAGCGTTTGTTTCCAAAACCAATGACAAAGAAGCAGAGATAAATGAGATTCAGATTCCTTTGTGTCTTTCGGTATTGTGTGCAGGTTGGTACACGTGGATATTACAGCTGGCATAGGGGCACGTTGGATATGGAATTAAAACATCCGCAAACAAATGTGTTAATATCTTATTGTTTTCATGCATAAATAATGATGAATGCGATTCACACACACACACACACACATATATATATATATAAATTGTTGAATTTTAATAACAATAGCGCGTGTATTTGTAAATATTAAATAATATATACGTGTCTATTTATTTTTCCACCACGGATTTTTATTGTCTATTCGAATCTTTGTAAAATGGGGAATGAAATTTGGATTGGGAAGTTCCGAAACGTAAGCACGCGCTGACTGTCATCATTGTATGAGCTGTCTCTAATAATGCATTTTTAAGTTTTACTGTGTAGCAGGTCCTGAATACCATGTGGAAGACTTTCTAACGTATCATTTCAAGTAATCATCAAATCACGAAAAAAGTGTTTTAATATTTGATTTAATTTATTGTGCGAACATCTCAGCTCTACAGTTGTCGTTGTGTTATTCTTAAACTTTATAGTTTGGTTTTGGTTTGGACGAGGAGCGTAGTACGTGTAATCGTTCACATAATTTTATCGATTCCGTGGTCATAGTTTTCTTAGTACAGTTCTGCAAACAGCCCAAAATCACGTCGATCTATTTCTTTACGAGTATGCTTGTGGGACTTAACATTGGCGTAATTAAACTGTAAGAAAAATCAAAGAAACAAAGTAGGAGAAAAGAAAATGTAAGGGATTTTTTCCATAGTGAGTAGAGTAAGGATGCTGCACTGTCCCATCTACTTACTGTATAATTCATTTGAATCCTTGCGAAGTTACCACGAGCGATGGACTGGAACTTACGAGGTAGCGGCGAGTCACTAGTGACTGAGTGACAACGAGCCTGTCACTTCAGCTGGACTTCCGCCTCATTTTCACACCGGAAAGACGCCAGAAGGTTTGCCATGTCATCGTAGGTAAAGAGAAAAGCAAGAGTGAAGAGGGTAAAGAAAGATATAAATAGAGGAAAAGATGTAAGAAGGAGAAGATCGGTATCCTTGGGTTTTGTGTGACTATCAGAGATGAACCGCGTCTACTGTTGAGAATTGTCCATTGTTTTTTTGTAAACGCTGCAGTTTTGACTTCAAAATGGATGTGTAGTGGTTGGGCTTTTTCGATACCTTATACAAGGCAGGCGCTATGCAGAGAACTGTATATGATGGCGATCTTCCACCCCTTATCGTTCATCGTCTTGCTTGTTTCACCACTTTTTCATCATCAGGACGATGAGAGAGATCCCTGATATTAGAACCAGCAAGGACCTCTGAAACACCGGTACATTTCTATCAGACTGCACAGCGCTACAAGTCGGAAGACAGTCATCTTCTTAACAAGTCATTTAGTATACAATGACACAGTTTTTGTGTATTCACTTAATTGTTATATTTGTAAATAGGCTCGGCTTTAATGACGTTTTAGCGTCAGGGAGAACAGGAAGTTCTGGGAATAAGTTATGACTCCTATTGTCCGTGTAGGAGGCAATTTATCTTCAATAACTTGCTTGTTTATATCTACCGTTTTTCAGTTAGCGCAGGCAACAAGTTTTTGATTCCGTTTTGTGTTTGCTTCGACATTCAGTCCATTAATTTTGCGTCTTCACATTATTTAATATTCGTCTCGCGGCACCTTCTATCAGTCTCCTGTTACTACCAACAACATTACACAATATGGGGAATTACGGAACGTTGCGATGTAGCGGTTGGTATTACTGAGTGAGAATCCTCGTTCCTTTACGATATTATCTTAAAATAGACCACGATAATCTTCACATCCTCTGTTCCTCGCTCGTGTCCATCCGGATTTCTGACATGTCGTTGTGTAACTCATTTAATTAACAAAGCGTCATTTAATAAATCACGTAAGAACCAGTGAGAATCGATCGAAGTTGACGTTGATCAAGGGTCAAACGTGTATTTGTGGTTGCAGCTCTGTCTGCGATCAGGCGCAACACGATGAACACGAACGCCAACAACACGACGGAGGGTCAGCTGAGGTCCCGAAGGAAAGCTGCCAAGATGCTGGTAGCTGTCGTCATCATGTTCGCGGTCTGCTACTTCCCAGTTCATCTGCTCAGTATTATCAGGTACTATTTCGCTCTTATGACGGCTTAAACGGTGTTGATGCGATGAAAATTTTGTCGGCGTCTAGCGGAATATGCATCAAACGTCAAATACGATTTTTAGCATTTTGAACACACTTTTGTGTTTGCATACATCGTTTATGCACAACACCAGTGCTCGGTGAAATGACAAATATGTAAAATTCCGTATTTAACATAGTATTTGGCACGTTCTCTTCCAAGAATTTAATTAACAAGGATCGTACTATATTTTGTTATTCATCAATCAGTTATTTCTTGATGGCTAATATGTATACAGTGTTATTAGTACCAATATTAACAATGTTTGTATCTATATTACAGTATAACTGGTATGAATATTACAATATCATTTATATTACTATTACATTGGTACAATATTATATTCTGTAGAAAACAGAAGGTTAGTATAGCAAACTATGGTTGATTAAAACGCAAAATGACATATACGTGCTCTAATGACCGCTGAATAAGTCGCAAAGCGTCTGCATTTGGGTAAAAATAAAGTTTTTTTTTTAAAAAAAAAATTAAAATGGTAACTGTTGCCTTAATAAATAATTGCAGTCACTAGATCATTGTATGCACGCAACCCGTGTGTTCTCTGCCTGTTCAGATACGCAATGAACATCCCAACCTCAGACGCGATGGTGGCCGTCGCAATGCTTTCTCATTGGCTGTGCTATGCCAACAGCGCTGTGAACCCAGTCATCTACAACTTCATGAGCGGTAAGTACGCGTATTTTAATGTAGGTACTGCAGCTCTGGAATGCATTGGAAGGCACGTAAATACATGTGTGTAGTGGTAAAAATGTTTTCGTTCTATACTGATCCAAATTTTTAATCTCAAATGACGGTGATGTTTTCTATTTCCCAAATAACCTTTAAATTATATAACGCGTACATTGCGCCCGGTGGTAACGGCGTAGTCCTGCTATGATTTCAGAAGTAAATTAGCGCTATATTTACGTCGCAAACATTCGGTGTAAAAGATGCAGTACGATTAAGGGGGGAGAGTGAGTCTTATAAATTGGAAAATACAGTAATTTCTTACACATTATAAGCAAGGGCAGGTGTTAACCCTTTAAAACGTCAGGTCCTTGCTGTCTCCATCATCAGGGCGATTCGTCCTGATGATGGATACAGGATCAGGGACGTCGGTAATGTTCTTCGGCGCAACAACCCGGAAGACAGCAAACTTTAGCTGAAAAACAACTTTGATCCACAGTCGAGAGTTGGGGACGTTGCATTATCAAGTGCTTCCCGTGTTTTTCTGCAAAGCGTAAACATTTTAAGGGATTTTCTTTTGTGTGTGCAGGTAATTTGGTGATTTTCGTGTTACCTGATTCAGAATGATTTATCATCGTAGTTCACAGATGACCACATAGTAGGCTGTAATGAAGTTAAATTGTTTCCTATGGCTAGGAATCGGCACGTCAATTTGTGTAGTTTAACTAATGAGAGACAATGCAGTTGGATCATTAAGTTATGCTCACGCCAAGAGCATACGTGAATGTGAAATATCATGAGTCTCTCGTACAAATTTGAGTTTCTGCATTTGTTTGTGTCCATGGTCGCATGCAAGTATGCTCTGTTGCACGGCTTCTGTAAACATCACTTCTTCCTCTTTGTGTATTAGTGGGCAATGAACATGAAATTTCAATTCCTCTGCCGTTCTCATAACCTCGCGACTTCTGCATTCATGTGTGTCTTATTTCATTTGTTTTGTCTCGCGTGCATCTGCTGACTTTTATGAGCGAATCGCTTCAATATCTTTTATCTGTCTTAGACGTCAAACTAAGATATTTTGATCCAATCCGGAGACATTAAATCTGCTTTTTCCGACTGAATTCTGTCATTAACTTTCCTTCTACTGTTCCTCCACAATTGTAAAACAGTTATGTTTATAACCGATCAGCATATTTCATGTTTAATTTTCGTTCTATTGCCCCTTTTAAAGTTTTCATTCCAAAAAATAATATTTGTCATTATTATTCTTATCCACACACACACACGCTAAAACATGACAATATTAATCAATTTATTTCTATCAGTTAGCTAATAACTATATCAAGTAACTTTTATAGAATATCTATAAATGATTTTGTAAATATTGACGAGATCACATAGCTATTGAAAGACAGTATGTTCTTATATAAATATATTTCTAGAAGAATTACGTTCAACTATTTCAGACTTAGTTATTCGTTCATTCTGTTTTTAAATAAGTTTTTATTTGGGAGTGTTTTTTATATAATTTTATTTCTTATGCACGTTTTGTTGTCGTCGTCGTTGTTGGCTTTGGCTTGGCTAATTAGGGTTCCGTTTGAATAGTAGTCGTTTGTCATTAATATAATTGTCACACGAAAGTATTAACGCTAAAACACACCCTGAAAGTAACGTTCAGAGCTAGTCGGAATTTGCCGTCATCTTTATAAAATACCTCGAATATTTTTCATAATTAATACTTGGACCCGCCCATAGTACGGCTCATTAGCGCAGATGTGTTGAATGACATTTTAAATTACCCACTTCATGGCCACTTAGTAGCATAAATTTATCATATTATCTTATACAGAAATTATAAAGCCTTTTCCTCTACAATAATTTTATTTTACATTCAACCGACAGAAATTATTACAAAGACGGACATAAGTGGGAGGATTAATACGACAGCCAGCTCTCCATTGACGCTTCGTTCAACACGAATCTCACCTGAAGTTACCCGGAATTTAACCTTGATCTGAATTCTCTCATAACTGGTTTGCTGGCCTAGATGTATCGTTTCGTGGTTTGCCATTGTGTGAAAAACAAATCTAATACCGCAATGATCTTCCTGTATAACAGTGGGTCTCAACCTTTTCCGACCTGCTTATAGACTCTCGGGCCCGAAGGACAGTTTATTGAAACTTCATGTCTGTAAACAATGCTTACTTTATATTACAAATAGTCATTTTTCTTGAGTAGTCTTTCAGTATCAGGTTTAAGTTTTAGTCCTGCAGTTCGCATGCATTCCTCTTATGTGTTCAACAGTAAGACACATCCTAATTCTTCATCCGGCGTTCTTCATTTAACGGAACAATTGCTCACAGAAATAGTTACTAACCTATTATCAAAGCGTGTTTTATATCGACAGGTTGCAGGTTGAGAAGCCCTGTTCTGCGACTTATATCATTGTCGGAGTTGGGTTTAATCGGATGTCCATCACGCGCATGCGTGTTTCTACCCCTTCATTTCCACACCTAATACGCCAAGCCTAGTAGTGTAAATCGTACGTGTAGCTAGCTGCCTTCCACGTTTTGCTGTTGAAGCTTGTCGTTTTTCCAACAGGAAAATTCCGCCGCGAATTCAAACGCACGTTTCTCCAATGCCGTTGCCTTTATCAGACCACAACCTCTTCTCCCCAATCTGGTCACTTCAATAACCGCGTTTCTACAGCCTGCGAGTACCCTATGACTGCTTCAGCTGCCCACGGCTCCACATCCGTACGTAGCGGCTCCTTCCTGCCCTCTTCCGCTGGTTCCAATTCCCGACGACAGGGGCGCAGTTACTTGGCCAACAACAATGAGACGTCCAGCAGTCGATTCTGACATAGACTGCTGGTGCCCTCCAGCGGCAGCAGTGTGGACTACGGCAGCAAACATCGCCGGGTGACGTGGGCTTCACGAGATACTCACACATCTGAGGGACAGCCAGCCACGGTCCCACCAACTGCAGGAACATTCCATTATGCTTAGATTGCAGACACAAACCGCAGCAAAGAACGGATCAAAACTGTAAAACCACAACCCTAAAATGAAAGGAACATACCTGGATCTCTGTACGTCATTGTTACTCACGATCACTTGAAAACGAGTTTAAAGTTTATTCTTTTTTTAATTTTTTTATTTAAATAAGGTGGAATTGGCAACACTGTTTCTCGCATCGTAGCGTAAAGAATAGTTTCCATATCAAGACACAACTGAACACCCTGCACTGTGCCTGTGAAGACCTGTGGAAATGCATCAAACACGCAACTGAGAGAGATTTGAATGTGATAAGTCATGTATTCGGAAGTATTGTGGATTCGCTCAAGTTTGTTTACCTCGAAACTCTAAAATTCCAGATTATTCAATAACTCTGTGAATAATTTACCACGACTTTTTTTTTTTGAACTGTTACCAGGATGGCGGGTTGGTCAGTCACAGGAACCCTAACGTCGAGATAAGGAAGGTGATCACTGTCGAGGGTCGTGAGACCTAATCCCCATGCCCTTAAGTGATCATGCTTTGTGGTAAAATCTGCTTAAAACGGAATATTGTCTTGTATGAGATCTCAAATCTCACCATATCGATTTTAATCTTCTGGTTGCGACGCCGTGAGAATCTCAGATCTCACGCAGTTTGAATTTCCCATTATGACATGAACATGGTCTGTTAAGATGTCTCGTGCGTAATGCACTTTGTGTGTGACGTATTCCCTTTGTGGAAATAACCTAAAACGAAGACTTTCAATGAACACTGACTGCCCGAATGAATGTTCTCTCAAGAGGTAGATGTTTCATGGCTGGCTTTTAACGTAAGAGGTTCTTACAGTGTTTGATGTGATCATGAAAATTCACAAAGAACTCCATTTCACCTAATGCTTTCCCCTCGCTATGCTATCGTAATCGAGCCTTAAAATACGTTTTAATACAGTCATGCCTCTCTTAAAGATATTTCCTGAATAATCGTTCCCATGTTACAAAGCGTTTATCACAGACAACCACAGTAGGTCTTACCCATTATAAAGATCGCCGGTTGGTTCTTAAGTCATTTAACGACACTGTATCAGTCTTAGAGCCTGCCTTTCGACTAGGGAGATATGTGTACGGTGAGATTTCAAGTTCTCAAGCGACGTGTATGGAAATGGGAGTCTTCTGGGATATTGTTCCGTGTTATCTGGTAGATATTCACCGACGATGCTATGATAATGCAGTAAGTATAGTGGGCGCAGTAGTTTTTGGCCGGTGGAATTTTCAAGGGGAAGGCTAGGAGCGAGTCTCTTGTGCTATGGTATAATGCTGACTGCACCGAGGAGCTTGTGTGACTGAACGCCCAAACAAAAGAAATGCACTGACCGTGCCACCTCAGGTACACAGAGTAGGCCCGTCCGCCAGCTCCACTAGCACAATGACGCATTATCGTTCTGGTCAGACTGTACCTTGGTGTCTTAGATCATCACCCTCTGTATTCATAGGTGGTAATATTTCTGGCAGACAGGCGCCATGTTCGCTCAACTCCGTTAATTGCCGACAGATTTTGGACTAAACTGTTATTCTTCTCTTTAGGATTTTGCTGCTGGAGTTCAATATAAGGCTTCGCCCTTTTTTGGGTTGAACCGCGTCGAATGTTGAGAATTACACAACATTTTGGCAAGCATTGCAGTTGCCATCTTCAGGGTGAGTATGTTTTGATTGTTTCTGCGGGTGTAATGTGACGTATCTGATAGGGAGAGAGTGGGCTACTAGATTAATATTGACCCTGAAGATGGCATCTGTAATGTTTGCCGAAACTTTGGATAAATTTCAACATTTGACGCTCATCCCGAGAGTCGAAGTTTTACACAGACTAAACAGATTCTATACGTACAGCTATGTGTTGTGTGTCTTTATTTATAGTCCTTGGGCTTTGTGATGATGTGGAGTGTTAAGAATGTCATGGAAATCTGCAGGACTTAAGTGCTTTAGATGATTTTGCTATATTTGTTCCTTGTTTGAACGGTAGTAATCTTAGTTTTGTGTGCGAACTTCAAACTTCGACTTACTTACTTCACTATTGCAATCTAAGTGATATTTATATGGCGTTATTTTAATAAAATTTTCCATTATATGCTAACGTTATGTGAACTTAACATTTTCGATCACTACAGACCTAAAACTATCAAGAAAAATGTATGCCCCATTAGACAAATTGGTTATTAGCATTAGCTCGTTTGCGTGTAAGTTCCAGTTATGTACCTTACGTGTCAGTGACGTATCTAATACTTCAAAGGAAGAGAGAAGTATAAAATCATTCATACAAACAAAACTGTTTACACTTTAAGTGAAAATTACTCCCTATAAGTCAGTGGCTTGTCTATTATATTTCAATGATACTAGATAAAAAAACTTTTGAAATTTGCACCGCACATGTCAGTGGCTTATCGTGAATTATATTCCGATGCTATAACATTATTCGTCAAAACAGCGGCAGGTTTCTGAAGTTAAGTCCGCGATGGACATTAGAAAACAGACCCGTTATGTTCATGGTTACACACTCGTAATTCGAGTAGGCCTGTATCAAGATCAGTGTTCCACGAATTTGTGCAATAAATCGTATATTCCCAAGTTATAGTCTGAAAAAGGGAAATATCTTATCTTTCGTAATGCAGGGTTCATCGACTATAGTTTTGTCTTCGTATGCCTTCACGTTCACGGGACAAGGATGTATTTATGGCCACTTACAGTTGTGTGCCCCGTTTTCGTGAGCGGACATTTTGTGGTGTGCCGCAGGTGTGAATAGGTTTCGGACCACTGGCTTGGACCAAAACACGAAAATCGGGAATTACCATTTGTGAAATCGCGTAATCTTCTGTGAGACGTTTTTATTAAAAGATTTAACCAGTCCTACAAATTTTCCACTCGTACCTAATTTTACAGAAAAAGATAATTCATTGTATAGGGCTACATTAATTAAAAATTTAATTTGCAATAAAAGTGATTAATTATAATTTCCTCATTTACAATAGCTGCATCTTCATAGCACATATTTTAAAATATTAGCCTATAATAAATCCTTGAAACGGGATATTTTTATGTCGTTAGCCAGTAAAGTTAAATGTATTATCAGGCTGTTCGTAATTTTTAATTAATTAATAATTCGTTAGGTATTTATACTACTCAGATATTGGTGTTCTTATATAACTTCTCCTTATACTTATCAGTTTCTTTGACTTGATTAAGAATTCGACAGTCATGTTTTGTGTTAACTAAAGATGTTTATGATGTCTTTGTAATCATGTATCATATAATACATATTGTAGTACTTGGGGAAATTATACGCTCATATTTAAAGAGAACACAACTACAATAACGAGGTAGTTGGGGAAAAAAATATTATTAAATTACATATTTGTATATTCCACGTTTTCTCTTATGTTTGTCACTGTTATTATTCCTTGCTAAACTTTGATTCCAATATGGTTCCAAGACTTATGCACATCATCTTACTCAGACTGGATGTCTGGATGTTTGGATGTTTCGTCATTCATGTCAAACTGCACTTTGTAATCATGTCAGAGAATAAACTTTATTTCTTGAACAGATGCTTATGCTCTCTCCAGCAGTGCTGTTCTGCACAGTATCTTCTTCTGTTGCAATTGTGTCACGCCCTTCATACCAAGGCAATGAAATGCGTTTTTATGAAGACGAGTCCAGGAAAAAAAAAAATCCCAACTTTCCGACACGACGCGTACTTTCATGACTTCACCTCCGCGATCGTAGCAGAAATTTCGTATCAGACGCTCAAAATATCCTCCATCCGCCCCTAATATTATAGCAAAAGGCCCACTTGTCGCCAAGCTTTCAACGTTACCACTGGTTATAAAAAATAAAGCACATGAACGTTAGAAGGCAGAGACGTGAAATCTGGACGCTGTAAACTAAATTACAGATGGCACTGGTAGTGGCAGTGCTTTTGATAATGAAGTGTATCGTAAACATTTTGTCTCATTTTGCCGTCTGACCCGGAACGTCTGTCTCGTCTTGTCTTGTCTTCCACGGAACTTAACTCAGCGTCGGGAATTTCAAGAAAAATGAGCGCAGTAACTCAGAATAGGACCCTTTTCTGGACCCATATACCACGGTGGTCTAGCGGTTAGAACGTTGGCCTTGTAATCCTGGGGTTTCGGGTTCGATTCCCGGCGGTGCCCGAATTTATAACTTGTGTTGGGCAAGGCCGTGGTCTAGGCAACACGGAGTTTTCCTCCGTGGCATCCCAACAATTACTCCATTCACACACTGAAGAAGGCAATGGCAAACCACTTCTGGATCATCTGCCAAGAACGTATATGAACAGGTCCCAGTCCGAGAAAAGGATGGAAGGATCCTGTTCATATGGACCTGTCGTCAGACAGAACACTAAATAAATAAAATTCTTAGCTATTTTGTTGTATAGAATACCTTAATTTCTGCCAAACCTTTAAGTTACACCCTGGTATGTATTCTTCAGGTATTTTGTATGGATGTGAGACATTTTAGTTCTGTGTTACAGTCGGGAGAGAACACGAATCTTGATTGATAGAAACATAGTAATGGAATATTTAGGCCCAGGAGAGATAAACTGTACTCTAGATAGTTGGATGCATTGTGTTCTTCCGTAACGTTGGTATCTACCTACATGTCGACACGGCGTCATAACCTAGAAGAGCAACATCGTCAGTTTCACCGCCAAGAGAAACTCAGGCCTTACCTGTGTATAACTTATTTCTCATATCTTATTATATTACTTGTAATAAATTCAGTTGATTGTAGTTCATCATACGCCTCATTCTCCGAGAAGAAAACAGAATAACAATGAACAATACGAAGGTTAGTTGTGTCGAAGTCGTAGAAACTTCATGTAAAATAAGCTTTGCATATTTTGCTCGTATAATCGTATGCATGATTGTTGGGTGACTTGAATTTACACACAGTCAGTCCGGGGAGAGATCGAGCAGATCGATTGTATACACCAGGTCATTGTTTCACGAACGTTCAGTTAATAAGTAGTCGCTTTATAAACAACGTTCAAGAAACAACTGGGTGGTGTAGCAAGTTCTGAAGCTGTGTTTGCATTATGTAGAAGTGGCGTACCATTTCTAGCCTTCCCTTCCTCTCGTCAATTAATATCTGAGCACTGAAGAGGGATTATTAAATCACGTCTTCAGTATGTACAAGTTTTGATGGATTTCATTGCCTTCGCCTTGCTTAAACCTGAAGATAAGGGTGATACATTCCTCTGAAATGTTGGTATCCACCTACAAGACTACTACCACAATCGATATATTATTTTGTGTACGTAACTATGTATATATTTCAATGTATTAATTTATCGCATGTCAGTGTGGATGCAAGCATGAAAGTACATTAAGTGTCGTCAGTACGTATATTACTGTTCATTTTCTAGGCATTTCTTTGTGAGCCATTCTCATGTTGCATGTTTAATCTCTTAGAAAGATAATCTTTTCCAAGTTTTCATAGTACCTTCGATATTGGTGGCCGCTACGTTATTATTTTACCAAAACTCAATTCTCATAAGTTACTGCCCTTGATTATTATGTATCTGTATTTTAGTATTTAAATTGTCATGAATGGTGATGATACGCTCATAGAAAAGATAGTAAACCTAAATAATTTTAAATTGTACTGGTCCCCATATGATTTGTAAATAAATTTTATTAACACTGTTTTAAAACCTTGAAGCCGAAACTCATCTCAATAATATTTAAAGGTTTGGTTGATACAAAAAAAACACGTCACGTTTCCACTAGAAAGATCAGTTGATTAATGCTGTTAGGGAAATAATCGATATTTGCTCTGAAAATCATACAATCCGCGTAAATACACACTGTGGGAAAATTGCAGAACCAAAATCTGTGCAATTCCGGGCCATTACTAAAGTCTGTTGATTGGATCAGTGTTGATAAGTAAGAACTTATATTCTTTTCTTGAGGAATATTCTTCCCTGAACCTTGTGCGAATTTGTCATATATAGATTCGTTGCATGACTTCGTTTTATTATTTTGTTCTGGGTCCCTAAGTAAGCCTCTGGTAAATAGAACCCAAAGAGTCAACACCACTGATATCTAAGCTTGCCACTGGGCACAAATTTGAACTACTTCAGTTTAATTCAAATTTTTACATGCTATTTTTACATTAACTGTTTTAATATTATTCTCCCACCTCCATCATGGTCTTCCATTATAATTTTATAAATATTTCTTGATTTCTATCCAAGGAAGGACTGCAGCTCATTGTAAACTCCTTGAGTCTTTGGGGTCCTGTTCTAAAAGTTAATTTTCTTAACCTTAGGGAAGTTCCGGAAGGA